GAGAGAGAGAGACACCAAAGGTGCTCTCTCTATAAACAGTTGTTTCTGAAACCCCAAATCCCAAATCCCAAATCCCAAATCCCAAATGAAATGCCTCCAGTTGAATTAAGAATTACCGAAAAACCACCCAAAAAGCATAAAAGATTCCTCAAAATCGAAAATAATATGGGCACTTTTCATCCTTTAGTTGGCTTGATTGGGACCAACCGGTTCTGTACTGAATCAGTGGACCGCGGGTCCAGTTAGTAACTGGCCGGGTCTAGTCATTGATTGAGGAGTCCATTGGTTTGATGGCCATTCTTTTCCAGGGGTCAAACAGACCAGAAAAGCCACTAGTCCAATTGTCGTTCCAGCCCGGTTAGTCAAGTCTGGTTCAAATAATACTAGTTTGAGCCAATGTAGAAGGGATCAATATGAGTATTTGAAATAGGAATTGGTATTCAAATTATAAACTTCTATTAAGAATGGTAAGCATGGTTGTCAGTAGCTTGGCATATTCGCCTTTTTGGTAAAGCTGGCATGCATATATTGACTGATAAATATGATGGAGATAGAACTTGGGTCTAATTTTGCTCTATATTTGGTTAAGCATGGATTTGTAGTGAATGGGAGACAAGAACCTTGAAGATCCTGCCCGGAAGGTGTTGTTTCAATGTTGGAGACTTTTTTAGTAGTCGTGTGCACTACATGTCGGTTCAAAAGCCTTTAGTCAATCAAACTTTGTTGTGTACTCTCACTTTATTCCCAATTGATTCTCGTAGTGGGTACTTGTTTGAACTGTGAAATGTGTTCTTCCTTTACTTATTTTTACTGTTGCTTCTATCTTGTCTATTGGAAAATTTTCCCAATCATTGCCCTGAAAAATTTGAGCGTGATGTCTGAAGTGGCTGTGGCTTTATTTCGGTCCCGTCTTTTAATTCATTATATTCTCTTCTTCTTGCTCTTCTAGTCCTAATTGAGTCCATTTCCTGCATATCAGTTTTAAAACTGCTGAATATCATGTGGTTTGCACAGGAGTCGGATGATATCTTTGAAGTACTAGATTTGATCGATCCGGTTTCTCCTAGCAAAGTTGTGGGTACAATATCTCTGTCATACAATGTTGAGGTATGTTGGACCATGCACATTTTGCTCTCCTTGAAATTTGTCTTTAGTGGACCTCCATTGACCATCATCTATTTATGTATGGAGGCAGTTACTTGTCTTGTTTATTTTTTCAAGTGAGTTATGCTTAACGTCCATTTTTATTTTATTTATGCATGATACCAACATATGTATCTGTGAAGATTTTATATTTCCTAAAAGCATTACCTCTTTTTCTCTCTGTAGACTCTCATTTCTAAAATCTCTCTACTTATAAATCTTTTTGTTTTGTTATACAAATCCAATGACACATAACTGAAGAAACAAATTGCACTAATGGAATTTTTGTTAATTATAAAAAATAAATTAACAAAAATAAATATGAAATTCGATGACAAGTCACCAAAAGGATTGTATTCATCTCTCCATAAAAATCTCTTTTATGCTTTATCCACATATCGATTTTAAAAGAAAAATCTGTTTTGGAGAAGAGATATGATTGAACAAAAAGTAAAGTTAAAAATAGAAAGGCCTTTACATGCTAATCATGTTTATTAAAAATAGGTTTATAACAATAGTAAATTCTATACACTAGTCAGCTTATCCCAAAAAAGAAAACTCGAGAAAAAAAAAATGACTAGAGAATTAAATGGCCATAAAATTGTACAATGAAAATATTAAAATTTTAATTTAATATTTCATAAATTATTTTTCATCTAATCTTTCTACAGGCCCTTAATGTAACACACATGCCATTAGCTAATATAGCAATATATATGCATTTCTAACCATGCGTATGTGCTCATATAGCATAGACATTTATCTAATAAGACAAGCACATACCATATTTGATCCCCTTCCTTCTCATTCTACCTCTATTTGCATGCATGCATGCATTTGTGAGTTCTCAGTGCATATGTAGGAAGTGTTTATAGTCATGCGCCTATGCACGACTGAGTTTGCTCTTTTGTATGTTACATCAGCCTAATCTTTTTGTTTTTTAATGGCATGTAGGATCCCATAGAAACAGAGAAGAGTTTTGCACATCGCCTCTTGGCTATAGTGGTATGTTATTTTATGTTTCTTGTATTTTCATGCTGTGGATTTCTCTGTTAGAATTCATACTTATACTCAGTTTTATTCATGAAAACACCAAAATATTTTTTATGGCATTTGTCAAATCCATGCACAATATTTTAGGTTAGTGCTTAATTTTTAGGCCTAGTGGTCATCTAGTGTGGTTTCAACCTTGTGCATTTGAAATGTTCAAGTCTATGCAGTCTCTGTAATTTACATCTTGTCTATGTAGATAAACTGTTAACCTTATATTAAGAGTAAAAGAAAGTTTTTCTGTCTTTTTATTTATTTTTTAACTGTTAACCTTGTATTAAGAGTAAGAGTATACAACACACAAAAACTGCCCAACCCAAGGGCTCAAAAAAGCCACAGAAAGCGCAGCAACAACAACAAAACTATACAGGTAAAATTACATGGTAACAGATACAGTTACTAAACACAGTCGCCAATTACAAATATTTGGTAATTTTTTGTTCCAAAAAAGATTAGGGCAAAGCCACAGAAGCTCCTTGCTTCGCCAGTGCGTCGGCCACTTGATTGGCTTCCCTCCAAGTATGAGTCCAAGAGATCTACATATGCCTGCAAATTTCGAAAATCTCATCAAAGATAGGCATGAGTCTCTAGGGTGGTGTAGCCTCTCGTGAGGCCCAGGAAATGACATTTCTTGAGTCACCCTCGACTACCAAAATTGAGCTCCAAGAAGAGTTTAAGTTTTTGAGGCCTTCCAACAGGGCACGGGCTTCCACTGCGGTGGAGTCCGCGATACCAATGTGGGAGGCATAAGAGAAGAGAAAAACTCCATCATGGTTCCTAAAAATGCCCCCTATACCTGTTGGACCTGGGTTGCCAAATGAGCACCCATTGAAGTTGAGCTTGATGTACCAAAGTTCCAGGGGTCTCCAATGGGAGGAGCGGGGGACACACCTGGGTCTATGATGAAGGATGGTTGTCCAATTAAGGAGAAAATTAGAGGCAGAGAGGAGCTTGAAACGGTTGTGGTTGGTGGCCCAGAAAATGACCATGGAGATGATGGACTCCACGATTGAATGACGATGAGAATGTTGTCCCCTGAAAATTTTGTTATTGTGTTCTTTCCATAGGGACCAAAGGATGGCTACTACTGCTGCTTTTCAAAGCATAGTGCCGGATTTGGGCCATATAAGGAAGCCCATTATCTGAAACAGCTGTGGAATTGATTCCGGTGTCACCCACGTCCAACCGAAAAGTTGAAGTAGGTCCTCCCTGATGAAGCTTGCGAAGTTGCAATGGATGAACAAGTGTGCATATGCTTCCTCCTCTGATTGGCACATAGCTCATCTCTTAGGGATTTGAAGACCTCGTCTTTGGAGTTGGTCCACTGTGAGGACTCTCCTATAGGGACCTGTATTCTTGGAGGAATAAAAGGGATCCAGGCCTTGGCAATGATGGACCGTTATGAAGGTTGCAAGAGGGAGGAGCCGTTTACTTTCTCTTTTTCTTTCCTTCTATCTTTCCGCCTTTAGGTCTGCATCGTTTCATTTGGAGGAAGTGGTGCATTATGTACTTCCATTACTTGGTAAAAATAGGTGAATACTGAGACACTGTTTTCTTGTCTGGATGTCTATATAATTATTAATTATAATAAAATATTATTACTTATAATATAATATTAGAAAGCACTTCCATGTTATAAGATTAAAAATATTAGAAAACACTTCCATGTTATAAGATTAAAAATAGTAATTTCCCATATAAAGTGAAATTAGTATAACATCAAACATTTATTAATTCTCTTTACTCGTCCAAAATTATCACAACCTAACGAACTATAATATTATACGTTGAAATTGAAATTATAGGTTTATATTTGATAATCATTTTACCGTACAAATGAGAATAAGTTTGAAATTTGTCTAATTATATCATCTAATTTAAAATCTAATTTACAACTATAACAAAAAAAATACATTATATAATTTATAATATATATATTAATAAGTCATATATAAGATTTGGTTATCAATGTAATTGGTATAATTATTAATTATAATATTATATAATATTATGCTAAACATAATTCTAAAAACAAGATGGCTCTTGCCTGTATATTTTGAATTGCTTGTATATTTTTATAATAAACGTAATTTATTATAAAAGGATCGCTATATTAAATAAATTTTTTTATAATAAATGTAATGCATTAAAAGGCTCACTTTATTAATTTATAATAAACAAGCTTTTCTTCCTCATTTCAATATTTCCATGTTCTCATTATTATTAATGGTAAGTTTGCAGTGCACCTTTGCATGCATAAAGGTTTGGAAGATGCCACACCAAGGAAGATGCACCTCATACCATATGTGTTCTCAAGTTAATAAGTTTGCACGCATAAAGTAGTGGGAATTGTCTCACATCGAAAATTTCAGGGAGAATTCACTTCTATAAAATCCTTGAGGCCCATCTCTATAATTGCCACTGGTTGAGTGGGACGCGTGGCCAGGTGATAGTGATGCTCATTGACCCCGTGATGTCATACTGTGCAAAAACGACAAGTCGTGATGTCAGCGCACCGATTTTGTACATAAATAACACCGAATCCCTTTTTTTGGCCAGATCTAGGATGGTCCAGCCGATTCTTGATCCAGAACCGGATTGGGGCAACAAATTTTTAATTTGACATAGTTTTGTCTTTTTAATCATGCTAGCAGAACTCCAATTAAAAGTCCTTGGATCATTTGTTTCTCAGTAAATATTTTGAAAAATTAAACTTGTGGAAAATATTGAATTTTCTCTTTTTCTCTCCTGTGAGTGCAGGACTATGATGAAGATGACCACTTGTCTTTCTCTGAGTTCAGCGACTTAATTTGTGCATTCGGTAATGAGCTCGCCGCTAGCAAGGTCTGAATGCCGGTACATGTTATGTTTACTGATGTTTAATTGTCACCATTTACTCCTTGCGGATATATTTCTTTCTTATGGTTGTGGTGTAGAACTAGAAACTGATTCAAAATTGTGCTCAGATTGGGGAGCTTTTCAAAAAAGCAGACAAGAACGGGGATGGTGCGGTCAGCATTGAAGAATTATCAGATCTTCTCGCTGTTCAACAAGAACAGTACTAAACTATCCTTTTATATCCCTGCAATTCTCTTGAACCTCTATTAATGATTATAGAAAGCGCAGATGTGGGGGAGGGACTGGATTTATCTATTAATCTTTCACGCTTTCTTAGCTAACTCGCATAATAATCCTCATCTTCTGATCCATGTTTATTTACTCATCTACAACCACATTGGTGCATTTTTTTATCAGATAATGTTGTACAGGTACGCAAGAAGGGTAATTTGAACAAAGTGATTAAAATATTGTATTTTTGAAGTTTTCTAAATCATTTTGCATAGTATTCTTCTCTCCAAACAAATTCAATATATATGTATGGTTCTTCAGTGCAATGTGTATTGCTTTTGCCACGAACAATAGTCCATTTGCGTTTTTGCCAGTTTTCAAGTTATTCCAATTGTTATCCTCTGATAGTCTTGATTAATCCATATTTTGGCATTCATTGCAGGGAATCACTCATAAATTGCTGCCCTGTCTGTGGTGAAAGTCTTGGAAAATTTGATCAGTTAAATGCTGTTATTCATTTGACTCTTTGTTTTGATGAGGGGACAGGAAATCAGATTATGACTGGAGGATTCTTGACTGATAAGCAGGCGTCATATGGGTAGTATCTATATATACACTAACTAGCACTCAATTAGTATGTTTTAATGTTCCTATTTTCGACCCAACAATTCTTGATGTGTTACTTCAATCATTTTATCTGTTCTACTCCAGAAAGTTTTTATATGTTTGTTATTTGTGAATGCCTAGATGGATGTTCAAATTGAGTGAATGGGCACATGTTTCATCATATGGGATAGGCCTCAAGTCCGGATCAGCTTCTTCACACATTCTGGTTTGAATTCAATTCGATATCATATAGTCACTGCTGCAGCAGTGAAATCGATTTATTATACTTCATATTATTTGACCCAATATTTGCACGTCATAGTTTGCCAATCCATACCCACTCTCGGTTCCTTCCATCGCTGGGTTTGGGTTGACCAGGGGACCTATTGGATCAACTGATGATGTTAAAACAATTTTATGATATCTGTGGGTCAGGTTTGCAAACTATGGATTAAGTAAATATTTTTTAATGGATTATGGCTGAAGTAATATCAATATGACTGAAGTAACATTGAATCCTTTGTTCACAATGTGGTTTCAATCTTATGGTAGATTTCAGCTGGTGGACTTGTGACTATATTAAAGAAGTTTAAAAATTAACTGAGTGCCTTTGAGTGAATGTGTTTTACTGTGAAAACATTTACTCTTCTATAAAGTTACAAAGGTTTGTTTCTTACAAGGTTTTAGAAAATGGATCGGCAACCAGGATCGCCCCTCTGGATTTTTGATCTGGTTCGATCAGATCATTGATCCGGTCTATCGAACTGGAAATTAAAAAAATTAAAAAATTAAGTGGGGCTTGTTAAGGGAGTAAAAAAATAAAAAAATGATAGAGTCGGTTATGTTAGAGAATTGGTATGAACCAGTTGGTTCATGGGGTGAACCGACCGATCTTGATATTTTACTGGATCCGGATTGTTGAGTTTTTGTGGCCTTTAAAGCCTAGAGAGCTTGTAAAAATGGTATTTATAGTGGAATATGCACTTCAGTGGGATTGTGTGTTTTGACTAAGTGTTGGGCGGTTTATGGCCCAGATCATGTCCAAAACCCTTACCCCATGAACCAGTTGGTTCATGGGGTGAACCGACCGATCTTGATATTTTACTGGATCCGGATTGTTGAGTTTTTGTGGTCTTTAAAGGCCTAGAGAGCTTGTAAAAATGGTATTTATAGTGGAATATGCACTTCAGTGAGACTGTGTGTTTTGACTAAGTGTTGGGCGGTTTATGGCCCAGATCATGTCCAAAACCCTTATCCCTGGGTATGTGGCACTACCGAGAAAGGTTTGCAGTGGGTCATCCCTTGTTGAGGTCGAAGATATGCCCATGGATGATGTTTGTAGGTTAGGATAACTGTGTGGTCTCCTGTGTCTGGTTGTAAGTCTGTGAGAGTAAGGACCAAAGCCTCTACAAATTTTCGCACCGTCTGCTCCCCAGCCTTCCCTTGCTTCCGTTGACTGTATAGACTCACCTCCCAAGGTTCCTATCGAAGAGCTAAATGACAACTCTGTCATTCTAGACATGTGCCGCCTCTCTGTTGACTTGGTTTGACCCTCCGTAGATTGTACTCTGCCCGTTTCGGCCCACTCGATTTCTATTCCCATTGCTTCTCTCGAAAAAGCCGGGTCTTTCTCTGTTGACCCGCTTCACCTTGTTGTCGCCTCGGGCTGGGCCAACCCAGTAAGATCTACGCATGTTATGGAAACGCCGTCTATGGTTCATGCAACCTTGGCTAGTACGCTCGCCCGCTCGTACAACCCAGCCTCTGACCCTTCGCCTTCCACATCCTCCCCTCTCGGTGTTGACACCTGTATGGTGACTCACCATACCCCTCCCCACTTAGCCCCCTTCTCTTCTTGAGGTCCAACCTCTAACCCCATCCCCTATCCCCTCTACTTTTCCTTTTCTAGCTTCCACCTACCCTAATCCCCTTCTGAAGGTTCACCACGTATCCTCCCCTACTTCTCTCTCCGTTGCCCCTCTTCTTTTCGGTTCTTTGCCGACGGTGCTTCATCTCCCTTTTCCTGCAGCTTCTGTACTTGCCTCCTCGCCGCCTCCCATCCAATCAACCTCTGTCATCATTCACACCCCCACTCCTTCATCATGCCACCCTCCGCCAGCAGACCAGGTCTTCTCTACCCCAAACCCTCCCACCCCTCTACCCTCCAGCTCTCTAAGGTCTGGTCTCTCACCTCTCTGCCTGCCTCCTCTTGTCAATTTCGATACCTCCTTGGTAGAACCCTTGCCTGTGATCGAGGCCTCGTTTGCCCTCACTCCACCTACAGGAGACGCTGCTACTGCTGCAACTGAGATTTCTACATCGGTGGTGACTTCGTCCCATACAACCACCATGGATCCTTTCTTCCACCCTTTTGCTTCACCCCCCATTTTGGTGGGCTTCCCGGCAGACCCCTCTAGTGGTGACCCCATCATCATCTTGGTCCCCTCTTCGCCTATTCCAATACTTGTTCCTAAGCCTTCGGTAGCTCTAAATCCATATGTCGACCCCTTCTCGGGCCTGCTACCTCTCTTTTTCTCCTCTTCTCTCTGCACCTCTTCACCTCAACCACTTCCCTCACCCCCTACTGACCCCCTTCTTGGACCCTACGGACAGCTCAAAGTACTTTTTTCTTTCACCCTTTACTTCAACCCCCTCAATCTCGGACACTACTCTGCCCTTGCTTGTCCCCGTTACCTCTCACCTTTCAATGACCTTTGCAAGTTGCAGCTCAATGGATGTCAATCCCAAGGAACCCATTTCGTCTACTCTTGGTGCCGTTGTTGACCCCCTAAACCCAACCTCATCTTCGTTTGCACCCTTTAATTCGGTAACTACTCCCCCCGCCGCTCAACTCTCCCTGACTACGCCCCCCTCCTCTGTGATCGACCCGTTCGACCTCTCATCAGGCATTTTCAGGCCTACCTCTGCTAATGGACTGCCATTCCCGGTTCTGCCGGCTTTACCCTCCTCTGCTACTATTGTAGGAACGGACTTGCTGGCTCCTACCACTCAGTAGACACAATGGGAGACCCGCTCTCACCCCCATTTGTGGACTCAGACTATGTTAATGGAGTTGACGTTGGCCAAGGGCAAATCCGCAAAGTTTTGAGAGTCATCGGCTTTCCAAACCCATTTGAAGGACCATTCACGGAGTTTTTCAAAGCTGAAGCTCAGTCTAGTCTAGAGTAAGGGTAAGCAAGAAAAGCTCCCGTGATATCTCAAACTTGTTTTCCACTATCAACTATGATCGACCCTCCTCATCCAACCTCTCCTTCTCACCCACTCACCAACAAATGGCCCCTAATGGCTCTCTGGTGAGACGTTCCCTCAAGAACACCCCCCTCTCCGTAGCCCATCAATGCTGATTTTATCCTGGGATATCTAAGGTCTAGGTCTTCCCCACAAGAAGAACGCAGTTAAAGACCTTTGCTTCAGACACCGGCCATCTATTTTGGCCTTGACTGAGACCAAGTTACCCTTCCCCTCCCTGCTTCAAGTCTGGCAGGTTTTTTGCGGCATCGTCCATGCCAATGGGCAGCGGTGTCAGCTGAAGTAGCTTCTGGGGGAATCTGGGTTATTTGGGACCCAACAACCCACTCCTTGGTCTCCCAACATTTAGTCAGATTCTCGATCATTATTCTTTTCTTTAGAATTCCAGATGGGTTTCAATGGAAATTTACCGCTGTCTATGGTCCTAACCTAGACACGCTCCGACCTCTCCTCCGAGAGGAACTCAATCTGGTTGGTCAACTACCCCACCCAGTTTGGTGCCTAGGGGGTGACTTCAACGTCACTAGGTGGTCCCATGAAAGAAAGTCTTCTACGAGGATATCCTCGACCATGTCCGCTTTCTCTGACTTCATAGCCTTCAACAACCTCCTGGATCTCCCCACTCAAGGTGCTCAATTTACTTGGTCAACATTGCATCCAATCCATCTCTTTCAAGATTGGATCGCTTCCTAACTTCTATTAAATGGGACACCTCTTTTCCTCGAACTCATTCTTTGGCTTTACCCAAGCCCACATCTGACCACTGTCCAATCATCCCTAACACCAATCCCTGACATAGTGGCCCCAAACCTTTTAAGTTTGAATTAGCATGGCTGGAAGAACCTTCTCTTTCAACCTATTACCGGCTTGGTGACAGGGGCTATCTGATATGGTAGTTGGTTGTGCAGGGTTTAAATTGCAATGCAAATTGCAGTTACTCAAGGGTCACCTAAAATCCCGGAGTCGGAATCTTCCAGGGTTCCTCGGACCCCAGACCTCAGAAAACCTCCACCTTGCAAACCATTCAGGCCCTACACAATTTGGAAGAAACCAGGGCTCTCTCGGATCTTGAACTTTCTCACCTCCCTGGTCTTCTGTAATGCTTCTCCCAAGGAAATCCACAATCTCTTCCTCTTCCTTAGATGCTTTGAATTTGCTACCGGGTTCAAAGTAAATAACGACAAAACCACTATGATGGGGATCGATGTCAACCCTTACACACTCAGTTCCTATGCTGATATTTGGGGTTGTGGAAAGGAAACATTACCATCCGAGTATTTAGGTCTTCCCCTTTGGAAAACCTAACAAAAGCTTGTGGTCCCACATTGTTGACAAAGTAGACCGTAGATTAGCTGGATGGAAAGGAAGGTTTCTATCCCCAGGTGGCAGGCTAACGCTTATCAAAGCTACTTTAGCCAACATTCCGGTATACTAGATGTCCATTTTCCATATGCCAGCTGCCATTAGCAAGAGGATTGAGCAACTTAGGAGAAGGTTCTTTTGGTCAGGAGCTGACTCTGACCACAAATTCCACTTAATTGCTTGGGATAAACTTTGCCAACCAAAGAATTGGGGGGGCCTGGGTATTAAAAAGTATTGGTACTCAGAATCTAGCCCTACTTAGCAAGTGGTGTTGGCGCTTGCTTACTCTCAGGAACCAACTTTGGATCGACATCCTCAAAACCAAGTATCGTCTACATGATTCTCCTTGGCTCCCTGAATTTAGAGCCAATAACAGGTCTTCAGGCATTTGGAAGTCTTATGTCCTCTACTTTTTAATTCTTTAAACCCCGGATCAGGTTTCATCCCAGATCAAGGAATCAAATCCTCTTTTGGCATGGTCTTTGGCTGGGCCACACCCTCTTAGGGATAAACACCCTGATCTCTATCGTCTTGCTAGAGATCAAGGGACAACAGTAGCCCAAGAAATGCTACTGACTGGGACCCCAGTTTTCAGGAGAACTCTAAATGACCAAGAACTCTCGAGCTTTGCCTCTCTTTCGGCAGATTTACAAGCCTGTTTCTTAACCCTTGCAGGTATAGATTGCATCATTTGGAGTCCTGCCCCGGGAGGCTCTTTCACGGTGTCATCTTTTTACCGCACTTTGTCTCGACCTCCCACTGTCGCCCTTGCACCAACTTCTATTGTGGACCAGGCCTGGGATTCCTTAGCTCCCCCAAAAGTCGAGGTGTTTATGTGGTTGGCCCTCTCTAAGAGAGTATTGATTGTTGATCAGCTGCAAAGATGTGGTATTCAGATTCCCAATCTCTGCGTCTTGTGCTTAGTGGAAAAGGAAACTAATAATCCCTGTGCATACAACCTTTGGGGAGTAGTCCTCAAGTTGTTCAAGGTGGAATGGGTACTACCTGCTGAAGTGACTTCCATTCACCCCTCAATCAAGCCTTTTCCTTGGGCCAAAGCAGGGATTATGCTCTGGAAATTAGTGGTGGCCGCAGCCTTGTTGGCCCTTATGGATCGAGCGTAACCACAGGATTTTCAGGGGGGAATACTCCCCTTGGTCCAAACTTTTCACCAAGCTCAAATCTTCCATCATCTTCTGGGCCACAAATCACCTCGATTCAAAGGAATCCCGGCATCGGCCTTTCACCTAGATTGGAGCAACATCCTTAGACATCATTGCTCTCGTCCCTCCAGGTCTTCTAGCTGGAAACCACCACCACAGGGGATGCTAAAGCTCACTTTCGACGGATGCTCCCCTCAGTAACCCTAGACCGTTAGGAATTGGAGTCATTCTTAGAGACCACCTTGGCTCTATTGTGGCTTCAGTTTCCAAACACATTGGGCATAAAGACTTGATGGAGGCTGAAGTGGAAGCTCTCCTAGAAGGCTTACTACTCATCCAACATCTCAACTTGCCCTCTCTCATTGTAGAGGTTTACTCCAAGAACACCATAACCTCGGCACAAATTCTTGCCTTCCCCCCCCCCGGTTTTTGGCTCAATCAGTTGATCAGTTTCATTACCTCTGCGGGAATACATTTGTCGTGTGGACGCATGCTTAGAGGGAAGGAAACCACGAAGCTGATTCCCTTGCAAAAGCAGCAGCGGAGATGGATGGACACTAGGAGCTCTCTTCTTTTTTGGTTTTTTCTCTTTTTCTACTCTTTTTGTATGGAGGATCGGCCTCTTTTCTTAGGTTGCTGCCCCTTAACATTAACTTTTCGAAAGAGGCTTTCGATTCCTTTTTCTCCTATCCTTGAGCACCTTTTTTGTGGTTGGCCAAGGTTTTTGTATTCTCTTTTCTCAATTAAAGGTTAACATTATCAAAAGAAAAAAAAAACACGTGGGACCAAGGATTCAGCCCCATATGTGTGTCTTTTTTAAGAGTGGGGACCACACCCAAAATTTATTTATTTTTAGACAAAAAGTGGTTACACCACTTTTTATGGTGGGCATGCCACTTTTTATGCTAAAAACTGGTCATGCACATTGTAGGGAAAAGGGGGCGCCCCATATTTTTTTAAAATATTTGGTTCAAATTAATTTTAGTTAAAGATAGGAAATGTTTTGTTACCATTCAAAATCATGATGGCTGATTTGTGGATTGGATGACTCTGATTAAATCTCTCTTACCCCACAGATTTTCTAATTATCCTAAAGGTCAAGCTGGAAATTAGACAAGGCATATTTAGATTGGAATCCTATTCAAAATAGAAAATAGATCTTGTTTCTATTTAAACCTATTTGAATCCCCTTTCTCAAAACACTAGCTCTCTCTCTCATGCCCGAAGTCCTCTCTCTCCCTCATGCGATATTTTTCTCTCTCTCCCTTTCTCAAAATTTGAAACCACTTGACCCCTCTTTTTCCTTAGAGAGGGTCATGCTATTTTCTCTCCTCTCTCTTATTTTATTTTGAGTAGCTTCTATTAAAAGAAAGAAGAGGAGGAACTTTAAAATTAGGCTTGCTGATTTTTGGAAAAAAAAAGGGTGACAAAACCTATAGAGAGTGATCACCTCTCAAGCTCAGTCATATTTATTTTCCATAGCGTTTCTATGAACCCTAGTTGTTTTTGAGGTCTCTAGAAAAGAAGTATTTCCTACAAAGCTTCCCTATCTCAGAATTTCCAACAACACCTAAAGGAGTAAAAGTGCACCATCAGTTAGGGAATCGTGTATGGGGTGTACTTAGACCTGTGAGGGTAACTCCAGGTATCTTATAGTAAGTCTTCCTAATAGCCTTAATTAATTTTTAGTATTATTTCTTATTTTTATGTGAATTTTCAGGAACCTTTTTTGTACTAAAAATTATAGTAGAAGGTTGTTTAAAGTTCGTGGATAGTTTCTATTTTCTTGGCAGTGAAAATAAATATCTTAAGTTGTATCTAGGGTATTATTTTAATTTAAAGCAACATATAGTGACCCATGTAAGTGGAATTCAGGTATTTGAAATAAAAATAAACTTTTTTTTTTGGATTTAATACCTTGAGTTCCACATAGCCACTTCTTTCACGGATCGTCTTGATGGATTCCCAATGCAGATCGGCCGGTTTCGAACTAGATCACCGATTTTTTAAACCTTGATTTATTATATGCATCTTGAGTGATGGATATGTACCCTACTCCTAAAAGGTAATATCTTAGTAATTCTATTGTTAATGTTGCTCCTTACAAAAGATAATTACTGAATTACATGATTACTAAAATTCATGAATCCTAACATAAACACGCACACCTGCAACTCTGCCATACCATAAAAGTAAGTTTTAGTAACCAGTAAAACACCAAGCAAATGACCAAATGTCAAACATTAATAGTACCAAGTACCAATCACATGGTAACACGTCCACTTCATCCTCCCATAATATAAAATGAAGATATACAACAATATGACAAGTAAAGGAATGCAAAACAACACTCAATGACTTGAGAGACCACTGATTGTGATTGTGCATATCATTTATCGTCAAGATGTGCTGCCTCTTCTGTATGAAGATATATATCATTTAGCATCAAAATATAAAATGAAGATGTACAATGATATGACAAGTAAAGGTGTGTAGAAGAAAACTTAAATGACCCAAGCGACTAATGATTGTTACTGTGCATATCATTTATCATCAAGGTGTATTGCCTACTCTGTTTCCACCAAATCGGTCATCTCCTCCTCGTCCAGAACTGCAGTGCTCTCCCTCTTAGTGATGCGGCTACCATTGCAGCCATCTGGTTCCAAACCTCAGGGTGGTACTATTCCCCCTAGACAGATTAGTGTTCATACAAATCAACCCGACTTAAAGACCTCTGTGTCTTGCTCGACCAGTTGCTCTATTCTCTTGTCCCAAGACGATCAGTCGATCTTTTTGCACTCTGAAAGTTTCCTTTAGGAATTGGTTGTCTTGGATGAATGGTAGATTATTGAGCCTGAAAAGTTTCTCGTATTTCTGTGGATCTACATGGAGAGAAATATGATTTAACTGAAATAAACTTGGTAACTGGGACTTATTGATGGTGCAAACTTCTGGAAGTTCACCTATTTGCTTACTTTCCTATGACCAACTGTATAAAACAAGTGACTAATAAACTAAGTACCTCCAAGAACATGCTCAACTTGTGTCACAATTGGATGATGGTGTATGTTAAGCTAAAATGCAAAAAGGCCACTTCTATAAGTTACGGTTCTTACAGATATTGTCTATACCAAAGCAATGTAAAATAAGTAACAAATTTACGATACATAATAACAAAATTTATGATGCATAACTAACTTATCAAATAACGCAAATAGATGTTTTATTAGAGCCACCATAGACTACTCTCTGATATCCTTTTTCTTTTCCAGCATTCTCAGTGTGTATTTATAGTTGATCAATGCCTAGGTAACAGCCTCTGGTTCCATAAGATTCGGATTCAGCCTCTATATATGCACTCTTTGAGGGCCTTATACCCTCATTGTTTGGGCCAAGTGTAATTGTGTACTTCATAGTTTATAGAGGATCTCATCTTCTGGACTATAATCAGGTTTGTGCCTACTTGCAGATGGTGGTTTTTAATAGTCAACAAATTTGTGGTCATTATCAATTTCAAAAAAGATTGTGAAAAATGGAATATTGTTACTTGGCAAGATATCACTGCATTTTTGTTTTAGTGAATCTTTGATAATCAGTGATGAAACCTGCTGACAACACCCAAGCTAACAGCAATAATCAGATGGGTGCCTTCTCTTAGAATGAAGATATTATAATAAAAGTGCCTTCTCAATAATCAATGAAGATATTATAGTAAATGTGCCTTCCTGTTAATCAATAAAATCACAGTCATCGTCTTAACTTTGAAAAAGAATGTGAAAATTTTTGAAATACTTCAGTAGGGAATTTTAGCAGAGATTTGTTTAGGTGGATCATTGATAAGTCACATACTTGGATGACCCCCTTTTGGGGTTGTGAGTTAGGTTAAGAAGGTCAGATGCAAGATTTCTTCTCTTTTTTATTCTATATTTTTTCTTGAGGCTGTTTTCTCACTCTGGGTGACGTGGTTGAGTTACCTAAGTTGCCATAGTGAACTGCCTTTTTCTTCTTTGCTTGCCATCACATTTGAATTGCATGAAATTACCTAGATTTTTCCTTGTTCCAAATGTAGAAATGGATTTTATAGGTTTGGATTGAAACTTTAGTGTGATAGGTTCTTTGGAATTTCTGTGCAGTTGTGTTCAATGTGCTATTATGATCATTCCTTAATACTTTGAATTGCGTATTACATTGATATTTATTGTTTAATGCCTTTGTCTTAGACTTGTTAAATTTAAGATTTGGTGTTATATTTTAGTTTCCATTGCTCTCATCAGGTATTTGATAGGAGAACCAAGAGGCTTATAGAAGAACTCATTGATCCCAAAATTGTTCTTTCGTTACGAGCTATTTACCAATCAAAGATTGGTCTAGGGCTTATTGATAAGGGTATGCTTCATTGACTTCCAGGAGTTCTCACCAAATTCTTTTGCTACAAGGTGTTTTAGTTTTTAAGAAACTTACATCCGTCTTAAACAATATTTTTCCAGTACACCTTTTTCTTTATTTTTTCCCCTTTTTCTGATGAGAAGTCCTTTGTCTTGCATGGCATGAACCAGGTCCCCGGCCTGTAATACCGCTTCTCTCTATTTCTAACATTTGATTCAATTTTAAGTCCTTTGTCTGGCATGGCATGAACCAATGTGTTACATTCTCTATTTCTAACATTTGATTCAATTTTATATCCATCTTAAACATTATTTTACAATTGCATGAGGAGCAAATGAGATCGATGTGTTTCCCTTAAAAGGTAACAAGGATGCCTTAACCGCTTCAAAAGGACTAAAACAACACGAGCATACATTCTGGGAATTACCCTAACCTTGTAAAAGAATGTTGTATCCCTTTGATGAAGAAACTGAGGCTCCCCTAAAACTAGCAGACGTGCAACTGGTGGGATTGGGGGAGGAAACACTTTGTGAATAGTTCCGCAACTCCCAAACTTCCTAGTACCAAATTAGACTCCAGGCAATGTTACACTTACCTGTGGCCAATATCCATGAGGCTCAACATGGAACCATTTAATTCACATATTTCTAATCTAATCATCTAAAGTCTTTATCACTTTATATCTTCTTAAGCATGGTCTTATGATCATAACTAAATCCCTTAATTTTATTCTAGCCATAGCATTCCTTGGGAACATGACTAGATTGCATAGTTTTTTCTATTTTACCTGTTGCTGTAACTGTACTATCACTAGTCATACTCTGATCTCACCTTCATGAAAGAGAAGTGTATCTAAATGCCTGCCAATTAGCAAATCCTTGCATGACAAACGTATACCAACTGCTGAAATTCAATTAAAATACTGAAGAAGAGTAACAAAATAGCCCTTTGTGTTCTGAAACTTAGACTCTCTCTCTCTCTCTCTCTCTTAAGTGGTAACTTTACTTCCATTGTCGCAAAAGTGGTAATCCTATTTTTGTTAATTTAAAAAATGATGTGCATTTATAGAAAATTTTGACCAAGGGTGTGGCCCTGGGTAGAGTGGAATGGCAGAACAAGATTTTTGTAGTGGACCCAAGTAGTTGGGATAAGGCTCGGATGATGATGATAATGATGATGATTTAAAGAAGCTATTTACAAGGCTGAGTCTGTGTACATGACTCCATGATGGATCCTTTTAGTTACTAAACCTATTTTGTATCAAAAGTGGCTTCTCTGTTCCTTCCTTTGCTAAGCATCTGCTTTTTCATTTGATCTCTCCATGTATGCTGTATTGATTTTGTAATCTTTGCTTGATGATCCCTTATCTTTTAAAAAACATATGCCAAGGGCAAGTTTTCTCCTTTTTTGTCTCAAGATATTACATTTCTGGAATCATCCTTAGATCCAATACAGGTCATGGTTTCTGGCTCCAGTAAGCATTGACCGTGCCTTAACTTTGTATGATTCACAATTTTGAAATAGAGCAGATATGGTAGCAGAATCTTGCCCAGGTTGTCCCTAATTATGCCCCCTGCATCTGCTGGACCTCGTTTCCCACACTTGCTGCATCTAAGTTTTAACATTCCTTCAGGGGGTGGAGTCCATCTACTAGCTCTCTTTTGTCTTATTGTTTTCGTATATTCTATGTCTACCCAATGATTTTCAAGATGTGACACTAAGTGTCCCCAAAACTCTTTTCTTACTCTGGACCACAGTATGACAGTTGCTCTTATTTTTTATTTTATTTTGTCCACCCGCGACTTTTATTTTTAACCTTTCCAATCAAATCACCCAAGCAGTTGCCAACAGATTCAGTCTTCAAAGAATATGACCGTCTTTTGGAAAACATGAGGTTTACCACTGCTCTAACAAGGCTCAAATGAAGGGGACAGAACTCAGGTGAAGCTAAGCAGTTCCAAAATGAAGGCCCAAATCTCTGTAAGCACACGGTACAATGCAAAAACAAATGGCTCACTGTCTAATCGTTGTCCTTGCACACACTACATATATTTGAGATGGCATACCTCTATTTATCAAATTATCAACTGTGAGCACCTTGTTCAATGTTACCAGCCATGCAGTTGCCGGATTCTTCAATGGACCATGCTCTTTTAACCATGGAGTCTTGTATCAAACTCTTAGTCAAGATGTGATGCATAGATTTAATTGAAAATGTCCCCAGGCATGCTGGCGTTCACATCAAGACATCCCCCCCCCATTTGGCATATTGAAGGACTTCTTCGTGCATAGCTTTGAGTGACTCAACTTCTCCCTTCTTTAGCGTATGACTGAATCCTGGGGTGCATATTGTTTTATGCTGCACCCTTCAAGTGTTCATGAGACCAGAGCCTTCGGTTTTGTTGCCACAGTAACCACCCCTATAAACCGAAAGCAGAGTGGTACTCCTATCCAGTTATCTAACTAGAATCTTGTGCTTCTTCCATTTACAACTTGCCACCTGATATTTTTGATGAAGGCGGAGCAATAACTATTGACCCCTCTCCAAATTCCTGCGATTTTACTTTGGCTTCAATATGCTTCATGAACCCCACCGGTTATTCTATCCCTTGCTTGCTACTACTAGCCTCCAAAGTTGTTCTTTGTGTATTTTAAATCTCTTTAGTCGCTGATGCAAGAAGGGCCTTGTTTGTTTCCTTAATTTTCCATATATCCTAAATGCCCTGCATTTTGTCTACAAGAAAGGACCCAATTAACCAAATGGATGTGATGCCCCTCTTCTAAGCCTACCCATGAAAAGCTCGTCATTATCTTTTTAATTTCTTTTGCTAGGAAGGGACAAGAAATAAATGCATGTAATATGTCGATAGTTAAGATATTATCGACTTGAATAGGGCGATTCTTCCCTCTAAGGATATAATTTCTTTTTTCCAAGCTGCTAGTTTACTCTGAAACCCCTCTAGGTTCCTTCCCCACGTTCCTTTGCTGCTTTCCTATGGCACAGTGGCAAGTCTATGTATTTATTTGGCATTTTATATATGGTACACACTATACTGCTTGCGAGCCCTAACCTATCATCCAGGACCAGAATCTGTAAAAGCCTAGTGTTTTCCATGTTAATAGCTGAAGCTACCGAAGCACCTTAGTAAAACATATAAATTCTTCATTTGTGCCACAGTTGCAATATCAAAGTGTCACAAGACCTTTAGGAGATGACTTGAACGCTGTTAGTAGGCCAGATTGATAGACTTTGCCAAACATACAAACTAAAAAATCAGACACTATTGAGAAAAGGATAAGCTTCTTTTATCCCAAAAAAAAGAAAAAAAAAGAGGAAAAGGGTAAGCTTCTGTATGCCGGGAAATGCCTTTTTGGTGCTCGCTTGACAAGGATAAAGAAGTTGACTGAGGACAAGCATCCTGAAATCCTGCTTCATTTTTCAACGGAACTCATCAACCGCTTTCTCCACCCAAAAACGCGATCTTGACCAACTTCTTTTTTGGTTGTTTTAGTTTGAAAGACAAATTTGTTGCACTGATCTAGCACATATAGCAGAAGGTCAGCACCAGGATTTGGAGTAGATTGCCTTCTAGTTCACAAACCGCACGGCCATTGTGTACTAAAAAATAAGAGTCAGTCCTGAATTTTCTGACTCAACCTTCCTTCCTTTGATCCTCGTCGCTAGATAGCTTCCAGAAACTCTAAATATGAATGATACGACAAAAAACAGACATTTATAAATACATAGTTATGCATAGGTTGGCACTAGGCAGAGGGATAACTATGACCTATACCCAATTTTATAATAGTGAGGATGCATAAGGACGCAATTTTGTGTCTCTACCATAGATAACACAATTACGGTCCTCATGATTTTCCAACTTTATCCTCCTTATTTGGCTTCAAAATTCATTTATCGCTCCCTCATTTCTCAGAATCATGTATAAAATATTATTTTCAGTGAATGGATTCCTTAAACTGCCAAATTTTAATATATTTCCATGTTTTGTGATTGGTTTATTTGCATAATTTAGAAATGATTTTGATTCTGAGAGGAACATGTTTCATCTTTGTGCAGGAGCCAAAGATATCTTGCTCAACATTTCTAAGAAGCAAGGGAAGCGAATGGATTCACCTGAATCTGCTAAAGACATCCCCAAATTCATTGAATTCTTTAATGTATGTGTTTTATTTAAATAAGTGATATTGAGCTATTGAAAGGCCATTGAATTCATTTGATTTTCCTACCTCAATGAAGAAATAAATTATCATAATAATGTTCATATGAATAGGACTATAGAATGACACTAGATGTAGAATGGATATATAAATATATATATAT